GTGCTGGCATCGATGAGTCGGGCCTGCTGCGAGCGAGTGCAGAAGGTACACTGCACCCTTGACATGCAGCAATGGCTCAAGGAACCCACTTCAATTGCTAGGCCGTGAAGGACTTCCAGCAGCGTCTCATGATTGCAATTGCTTCGGGGCTGGCCGACTTGGATGATTTGGTGCAAGCTCAGGTCAAGCCCCGAGCTCCGGCAGCGACACTGAAAAGGAGAAGGCCACGGCAATGCTGCTGTGGCCACTCAGCAATTCCACATTCGACTACTGCCCAAAGCGACAGCTACGCTCTTCCAAAGGTAAACGCAAAGTCATTCTTGCAGCTCCAGTGAGAACATGACGTATCATGTGTGTTGATGTCTTTTTGATGTCTTGTTAATGTTGTTGTTTAGACATTGTTGAGAAACTGGCAGCATGCTTCCGGAGCAAACACTCAGCATTGGCAGGCATCGCCCAAATCCCGTCCTCAAGCTGAATCCGAGAAGACTGCGGAGCAGACGGCACCAGCCAACCAAGAAGCACCCACGACATCATCCGTGGAAGAGGTCGTGAAGTGAATTGTACTGCAAGGAGTTTTGAGTAGGAGGCTAGGATGCCTCGGTAACGGAATCTGCCTAGAAATGCGCCTGCTCCCCACACAGCCACTCCGGCACCACGGCGCTTTGCCCTTGGAGGCGCCAGCAGCGTCACCTCCAATCTTCAGCAATCAGTGGAAAGCTTCGGGAAACTCCCCGGTCAATAAAACCGCGGGCACGACTGCGGTCGACACATCCTCGGAGTCCGCTGACGGTGCCATGGATTTGCTTTGGCCATGTCCTGCCAGTTGGTGCTTGTGGTGGTGATGGACTCTTTCACCCTGAGGTGACAAGACCCTCTCACACGGAGATGCTCAGAAAGCCTCAGAAGAACCGGCAGCCGCAGACTTGGCTCCCTCATGATCAGACAGAGGCCGCAGAACTTGTGAATTTGGAGTTTGGAGGCCCCCCTTCCTGCCTCGACACGCCCTGAAATGCACCTGGAGATCGCCAGCCCTGAGGCCTGCCGCTTTGTGTTCTGCGCATCCTTCAGCTGTCTGCATGTTCAGGCTGCAAGGGCTCTATTGGATTTGGTCTATGGCCTTGGTACAGAGTACAACATCAGCTCAGATGCTGCAGACACCTTAGCACATCGTCAACGAGCTGATGGCTTTGCATTCCCGAAACGAGCGAAGGCTAATGAAGACGTGCTGCGGCTGGCAACTCAACTTGATGTTCCCTGCCTCCAGGTGCGAGCTTTCAAGTAAAGGCATGCAGCAAACCCTGCATGTTTGCCAGGAGTCAGCCACGCGCTATTTGGGGCAAAACTTAACATGCCAAAATGCTGGGACCCGAAGCCGTGCCCAAGTGCTTGGAAAGTGCGACCGGCAGAAGCCCAGGCAGTGTCCCGCCTCCAGACTTGCAAGCAGTTTGGTCTTCAAGAAATGTGGCTCCAGCTGGTGATTGTTGCTGGAAGTCAAGTCCATGTCTCCGCTGTTTCCGCTGATTGGAGGCTTGCTAGTCCAATGTTCAAGCAGGTATGAGGCAATCGAAGAAGAGGTTGTTTCCAGCAGGGATGCCCTGCAACATATTGCAGCTGCTGAGGAGGTGGGCTCCACAAAGCAGTTTGCGCAGCTTTTCAGCTTTTCAGCTGAAAAGCAGAGTTTTGTTCGTTCCTGCTCATGTGCTCAGGTCACCAAGTTCCCAGAGATCCTGCAGGGCTTGCTGATGCGATCAGCGCAAGTGCACCATGCTCGTACCGTTCTCAGCGCTCCACTTTTGGCCTTGGCATCCGAATCCTGTTCGGCAGTCTATTCGGAAATCTTTCCGCGGCACTGCGCTGCAGTGCAGCCCAGCTGAGTCCCGGACGCCCGAGAGGGCAAAGAGGCCAAGCGCAAGCGCGTCCCTGAGTCTGGAGCTGAGCGTCAGTACAACTGCTAACCCTGCACCATGGTAGTTGGTTCGAGCAGCAGTCAGGCAGCTCCGTACAGTGCCCAACAGAAAGGTTTTGTATAAGACCTCCTAGACTTGGAAGCATCGTGAAGCCAAGCTTCCTCGAACATGCTTCTTTCAATTTCTCCTTTGGCTTTCAGGCAGAAGTCTGGTCGACCAGAGAAGGTTTCCAAGGTAGTGTGCTCAGAGAGCAAGCAAAGAAACATGCCAGTTCCGCCAGTTGAGCTTTGCTGGCCTCCCATATTACAATATACTATAGTATACTACTATATATAACAATATAGCAACATATACGTGTATATATATATATATACATATATATATAGAGATATTGTTATATATCTATAGTAGCCCCACAGTGGCCCCACAGGCGTCATCTGGCCGCGCTGTTGCAGGAGGTGGTGCATGAAAAAAAAAGGTTTTCGAAAGCCTGAATTGCCAAACATTGGCGAGACTTGCACGCAAAAAGTGGAGTTTATGGTAGCTTGGGTTCGCTCCTGAGATAATTCGAGATTTGCGGCGCTGTTGCGAATAGGAGCCTGCTGTGTGAATTTGTTTGCTGGAGAACAGGCAAGCCATTGTTAGAATTGGACTGTGCCGTCAGTGCAGACTCCAAAGTACCGAAGCTGGACGAGCTTTGATGGACCCGTGCAGAGAAGGGGCCCAGGGCACTAAGGTCAAAAATATTAAGCTGTCCTGCGAGCCGCAGAGGTGCAACATCTAATTCAAGCTGAGCAGAGAGTATATAGCTGCAGCTAAGCTGCAGCAGCGCCAGCACAGGAGAACAAAACAGCACCTTTTGCATTTCGCTGCTTTGGGCTTCTTGAATGCAGGCATTCAGTGGTCGGCCTGCCACCTCCGTCAGTAGGCACAATTTACCCTTGGTGCAAACCACATGCCAAAAAGCTGCAAAAGGCATCTGCGATACCTGATCCTTTGAGCCCCTGCGGGCTACTTGGCTCAAGCGGCGGAGGTGATCACCAGCCCGCAGCTTGGTTGGGGAAGGAAACTCTCGGCGTCCGTCATTTCAGCATGCTACCACCTCAGCATGCCGAAATGTACATGGCTGAGTGCATAATGGTGGCAGATATATGAAGACCTCGCTGGACATCTTTGCGATTGTAGGAGTTTCATTCATTCTTCGAGATGCAAGGTCGAATGTGGGTGACAGCTTTCCTTCGATGCATGATGGCGGCCCGGCTGATTTGATTTGATTGCAGCTTCCTTTGCTCTATTCTGGTTGCTATGAAGGTGAGGACATGAGCGATGATGACCTGGGTTTGAAGCAGGAGCTCCCGGAAGGCGACCTGTTCAACCTTCATGGTGACGGAAGTCTGTCTTGCCGTTGTACTGCGCCTTGCAGAGAGGTGTCCAAAAGGAAATTGTGAAGGCAGCGCCCGACTCTCATCAATCGACCCCCAAGGCTGCATCCAATCTGCAAGCATCTCCGAATACAGAAGCATGAAACGGCTCTTGCTAGCTTAAACGCAGGCCGGGGATGAGGTGACGGTGCACTACGTCGGCACCTTGCAGTCCAGGCCCAAGTTCAGAGGCCGTGCTCCAGACTGCAAAGCCCAATGCAACCATGGACCATGATGCGGCACTCGGGCCCTTGTCACCTGTTTGTGTCGAGTCTGATGAGTTGGCCTCAAAGGCGGGGAAAGGAGGCAGGCAACGCTAAGCTTGTCAATCCACGCTCTTGCACTTTAGCTCAAAGCTTCTATCCACATGCAGCAACATCTGGCTTTAGCGAAGTTTGCCTTGCCAGTCCAGCTAGTCAATATCCGGTTGCCTCAGAAGCAATTCAATTCAGCTTTGCATTTGCAAGCTGGCTATCCGACTTTTACCGGCGCCTGTTTGATACAGGGACAGGGAGCCTTTAAAGGGTCGGCAGATGGCAACTTGCGCGTTCAATTCACCCCTTGCTTGCCGCACTGGAGGTTAGGGGTGCTATCCGCGTGCAACAGCATGAGACGTTTACAATCTTTGCTTTGCCGGTCCCATGATGCCTCAAAAGCAACTCAGTTCAGCTCTTCATTTGCAAGCTGGCTATCCGACTTTTACCGGCGTCTGCTTGATTCAGGGACAGGGAGCC